CTACACTCTTGTTTGACAGATTGTTACAAGGAACTCTAGCCATTGACGTTAGTCGTTTGACTCTGATACCATGTAAATCTCAAAGAAGAATAGATGATGAAAGAGAGAAGAATCTCAATTGGTTTTTCATTAATTGAAATCAGTTACAATCAACTCATGCTTTATACTCCAAAACGAGCTTAAGCAAAAATGAGCTGAAGAAGATAAGCTAAAGTAAGCTGCTAAAGTGTCGTTACAAACAATGTGAAACCATCAAGTGCAAAACGACACCGTATACAAACAATGCAAAAGAAAAATTACAAGAAGACCCTCAACTTTTCATTTTATGACAAACACTTCCCCTTAAACCGTACAGCTCTGTTTTTCACCAAGAATCACTAACATTATTTTTATAAAGTGGTAATTGCTTTTTAGTTTTTAGTTGTGTGATTAATGTTTGTGCTTTTTATTTTATGTGCTTTTTTATTTTATGTGTTGTGTGATCTAATGTACAATTATATCTTCTTACTTTCACTAATTTAATCCAAAGTATATTATTGAAAATTATGTGTTGTGTATTCTACCCGCCACCCACTTAGTTTAAAGTTTTCTAATAATATTGTTTGGGTATAATGCTACGTTCATTATTTAATCTCACAACCTTCTTTTATAACCCCAATATGGTAGCTGAGTTGACAACTGTTACGTTAGCTCCCACCACATCCAAGGCATTCTTAGGGACGAATGGTTGTTCTTTCATAAAGAATGACTGTTTCTTATGAAGGAATGATAATTGATGGGAATGCAAAATGTCATATTTAACCCCCTTAATGTTTAGTCTTTTATACATATTTGTTTCCTAATTGTACTCATTATTACTTTATTTTGGTTTAGGAAGCAAATGGAGGTGTTAATTGAAAAACGGAATTAATTAGGGGAATTCGGACAGTTTCGCCACTGCTTTGTATTCTGGGCATAATTCTCTCATCCGAGCTCCGATTGAGATGATTCAAAATGCTGTGGAACGCTAAGAAAGAGATCTACAACTTTCATGTTTTGAGTTTTTAGAGATACTGGCTGAATAAAGGTTGTAATCGAGCTTGAAGTTGACGCACCTGCATTGCCGACGTCCTGGAGCGTTCTGACTTGTTATGCAAGTCAGTCTATTATTGCACGTTTTGAAGACATACATGCTGCACGAAAATTACAGCTGGAAACACCACTTTCCTATTTTATTAGGACTCTATTTTATTTTATTTCCAATTAGAATTAAATTAGGATTAATGTTATTTTAGGATAGGAGAATATTTCTTTTAGGAGATTGAGTGGGATTCGAATTCTAAAATTAGATTTTAAAAGGGAGATCAGATTAGGTTTGAAGGGACCACGCCTCTCTCTCTTTTCCTCTCTGGAATTTTCTTTCTCTTGAGTTTTTGTGATGGCCATGAGCGGCTAGAACTTTTGTAACTTGGTCGAAGGAAACGGAAACCTCGGAATCAAATAAACTGTGAGATCTTTCTGTTTTTAGTGTTAAATTCATGTTTGAGTATTGAATGTTATTCTGTGCATATTTTTATGATTGATGCATTTAATTACTAGGAGGCCTACTAGTGTATTATTTGTTGAAATCTACTGCTAAGTTTGATATCAAATCCGTAATTGTTTGATCCCTCCAACTTGTGAAGCAATTAGGGTTAGTAATTTGCTGCGTCAGGAATTAGTAACCTTACGAAGAACATTCAACTAAATTAAATACAACCGCTTGTGTTTGTGTTGTTTAGCTTCATCGATCTCTCTAATTCTTAAGGCTGCCACTAGATTAAATCTTGAGCGCTTGTCTAGGGTTGTTTAGTGGTAAGATTAATTAAGAGCGCTTGTTTCCTAATTAATTAAAATTAAGGAGAGATAGGAAAATAGTTCCAACGGTGAATATTCAATGTATGAATTGATTATTTTTGCATCAATGATCAGTTGTGAGATTCCGATGGTGGATGTTGACGGAGACCAAGTTTCGTTATATTAATTGATTTCGAATTGAACTGTTTTTGTTTTTGGTCTTTGCTAAGAACGTTTCCTGTTTTACACAGAACCCCCCCCCAGCCTTGTTCACATAACAGAAAATTCAGCTAGACACTCTTCGTGGGATCGACCCTGACTTACACTACTACGTGTATTCTTAGGTTTTAATTCTGGGTGCCTACGACAGCACGCCAATAATTCCTTCATAAGGTGATCATTCCTTCATAAAGAATGATTGTTCCTTATGAATGAACAGTCGTTCGTCCCTAACGAACAACCATTCATTCCAAAGGAGTAGCCACTCATGTTTAGTTAACTTCGTCAATTGACGTGGTAATAATAACTTTGTTATCATGTTAGGGTTATAAGAGAAGCTTGTGAGATTGAGTTATAAATATAGTATTTTTTATATCGCTAACCTCATCTCAATTTCATCCCAATATTAAAACCTACATGTAATTCTGAAAATTTTGCTTAACTCTCTATATCATTGGTCAAAGTTATGTTAAAAATAACAATAGACTTCAAAGGAGGTCAATGACAATAATCGTACTATTTTAAATTGTTTGTATTTTTTTTTTTTTTAAATCCTAGGTAACGTTTGGTTTAAGAAATATTATATTACTGGAGAATGTTATATTAATGGAAAGATAGATTACCAAGAAATGTTTAGAGAAATGTCTTTGGCTAGTTGGAATAAATTGGTGAGTGTGTTATATTAACATGTTTGGTTAAGATCATAAATGAGTGGGTATGTTATATAGATTACTAAATTGCCCTCCTTTTTAAATAATAATATAATATTATTTTTTGAATCATTTCTTTTAACACCCTATATTTGAAATTTTGCTAAAACACCTCATCCATATAAAACTTTAATTTGTACCAAAATCACTCTCACCCACCCTAAGCCATTGCCAACAGCCAGCCACCACTGCCAACAGCCATCGTAATGGCGCATGACTAGCGAGATCTAGCTGTTTGTGCGTCAGGAAGGCCTTTTCCGGCCATCGATCAGAAAACAGCCAGATTTGGCCATTTCTATGACCGTTTCACGGCCAGATCTGCCCATTTCCGACCATGGATCACAAATCCATGGTCAGAAACGTTCTTATCGGCGCACGACTAGCAAGATCCCACCAGTCTTACGCCAATATGATGACTTCTGCCGGCGGCTAGCAATGGTCTTGGGTGATTGAGGGTATTTTGTTAACTTTTTTGCGGTTGGGATGTTTTAGCTAAATTCTCAAATATGAGGGGTATGGTAATGGTTATTTGATAGACATATAAGGGCAAATGTGCCCAAAATGATAAAAGATTAAAGACAAAATAGGATCAAAATTAAGATTACCCTGATAATCTTATAATAACACTCCTTGGAAAGTTAATCTGATTACCCTTAATATTACCAATAATAAACACTATTTGTAATAAAAGATTATCGTAATATTTTATTACTTGACAACCAAATGATGAAATCTTAAAAAATAAACAAATATTGCAGAATTAATCATATTTCACCCTGAATCAAACACAACCCTAGTAATATGTTATTTTTTATTAGAGTTAATGAATGATTACTAGCCGTAACAACTCCGGGAAGGGAAAGTTCGTTTAACAGAAAACGTTAAATGCAATAACGGAAGTTAACAGAGTTGTTAGTTAGTGCTGCGTTTTGGAAGTGCTGTGATTTTGCAAACTCAATATCGAAGAAGAAGAAATACAGAAGTAAAATGCAGTTGCATTTCCAGTGTTCGGCTTAATGCTTCTGAAGAATCAAAATTGTGTTTGATCTTAGAACTAAAACTCTTTCTGCCGTCAGTTTCAGCTTCCCCTACAAATTTGACGTCCAAAATTAGGGAACACTACAGTACCAGCCTTGCTCCAGGGCCAGGCTGAGATATAAAAATAAATAAATAAATGATAGTAAAATAGATCAAGAAAAACTGAGAGTTCACAGCTCCTGTACTGCAGAAAAAAAAATTAACATAGAAAAATCTACCGTACCAGACATTGATCATTAAACTTTTTATTAGCTAGGTGAATATTATGCCTTGAGCCTCAATCTCATTATTGATTCATTTACCTTTATGATTGCGGCCGATAACGACTTTCTTTTACAAGATTCCTTCTTTCATATAACTACCGGGCAGTACTCTTCCTTCCTCTTCAATTTGCAGAACATTGCAAGAATCTCATCCACTTGAAACGATCCCTTTGGATAGGATGCTCAAATATTCCCTTTTGCTTTAAAATCTTGCATGTGAAGACACTATATGAGCATCAATGCAAGAATATTTTGATCTACAATAGCAACAAAAAATCTCGATTGTTTCCATATTTGTAAGGCTAAGAACTTCTGAATCTTGATATTTTCCTCATCATTCTCTCTTAATATAGGCCTCAGAAATTAACTAAATTTGCAAAATACAGATTCCTTTCACTAGTTTTAGTAGCTTTTTCCTTGATCTAAATTGTTTGAACAGAGATAATCGGGAGAACATTAGAGAATGTTTTAGAGGGTTGAGATGATTTGAGAATGCAGGAAAATTGCTAATAAATTTGATTTGATTGATTATAAACTAATAATAATTGGAGAGAATATATCTCATTTGATTTACAAGTTCCATTCTAACTTCACAATCTTTAATAAATAAATAAAAAAAAAGCAAAAATCTTGACCATACATGAATTTAAAATAAATATATTGATTGAAACTCTTTGGACTTATACATTTAGCAGCTAAAGCAGCGGAGGATATGAAAATATGCTGTTCTTAATTACAAAAAGACCTCAAATATTCAACTATTTATAAGGGTACAGGAGTGAACCATTTTCCATCATCTTGCCTTCATCAAGTTCTTCTGAAACTTAAGAACTTAATCTTTATCAATAATTAGAGATGGCTTTAAAGGGCAAGCTAGAGTTTGAAGTGAAATTGAAGGCAAAGGCTGATCAAATTTTACCAAACCCTTAGAAGACAAAGCCGTGAAATTCCCAGAATGTCCCCTGACAAAGTACAAAGTGTTCATATCCAGAAAGAAGATGGGAAGTCCAAGGGATCTGTCAAGAAATGGGATTATACCTTAGGTAATTAAATTTCATTATTTATTATAAGCTTGTATTATTATATTAATTTGTAATTATTTTAAAAATCAAACGCAGCCTCTCGTGTGTATATATATATATATTCATAATTAAATAAATTAACGATCAAAACAAGAATTTTTTTTTTTTTATCTAATAAACATGTTTACATAAAATTTTATATACAATATTGCATATGTATTATTGTTTTTGTCATCGAATTTAATTTATTTAAATTAGTTTATTAATTGAAGTCTTTCATTTTTTTTATATTTCATCGAATCTAATTCTTACAGAAGAATTTCTATATTGATTAAGTGCAAGCATGTACTCATTGATTCTTAAATAAACTTTATCCATGCAAAGAATTAAAAAGGGGCATGCATATTGACGAAACAATTATTAATTATGTTAAATTATGTAGATGGAGAAGAAATAAGCGCCACGGAAACAATTGAAGCAGCAGATGACAGTAAAAAGATGATCACATTCAAAATTATGGATGGAGAAATTATGAAGGCTTTCAAGAACTTCAAGGCAACTGCTCAAGCAATACCAAAGGAAGAGAGCTGCCTGGTGAAGTGGATTGTGGAATATGAGAAACGGAGTCAAAATATCCCAGATCCAGTTGACTACAGGGAATTAGCAACAAAGAAGTGCAGAGATATGGATGGTCACCTCGCAGCAAATTTTAATTAAATTAACAGTAATATTATGTTTACAAATTTGATATTTCAATTTTAGATTCCAACTAATGTGGCTATTGGTATATCAAGAATTCTAGTAATTGCGGGAATAACAAGAACACTACACAAAATTTTACAATTAAGAGATACATTAATAGCCACATCAATTGGGATCCAAAGTTGGAATCTCAACTCAATTTAATTTGTATGCATAACGTTACTGGTAATTTATTATCCTAGTAGTATTTATCTATAAATAAGTGCTTGGGGTTTTTCTTTTCTTATTTCGGTTGATTCATCTTCATGCATAATTTGTGCTTTCAAGGGACATATGTATGGTTCTGGGGTCGCTGCAATTGCTACAATAAAATATTGTTATATATACATATAATATTATGTTAATATTGTCAAGTTTTTGGTTTGTTAGAGAATGATGTAGATAATATCTCTCTTCATTATCGTTATTATTATTTTGAAGCCGATATTTGGTTCTGTTACAAGCAAATTGTGCTAAAAAATAAAAGGTAAAATTTATTTTTAATTGCTTATTTTTAAAATAAAATAAGTAATTGATTCGTGATTTAATAAGCGAAATGCTTCTTGAACGTAATCAAAATCTTTTACGAAGAGTGAAGGATAAAAACTTGTTTTAAAACGAAAACATAGTCAATTAATTGACATGATAAACCATTTATTGCATGTAACACTCAATTAATCTCCATTGATAATTAATGCCAAATTGCATCGGATATCTATTGATAAAAAGACTAATGCAAGAAATTCGGCTAAAATTTTTATTCTAGTGTAAGTTTCTACTCCTGAAGGACTTGATAAAAGACTGTTAGAACATGGGTCTTTTATTAATGGCTTTAAGGGTAAATTTGTAATCTAATTAAAGCTAACCCGTTGACCTTGTATATTAACAAATTTTGTAACTGTTTGCATTAATAAGAAATATTACACACGGAAATATCCAGAATTTTTCTCTCATTTTCTTCCACTTTCTTGCACTTTCTTAGCTATTTTCTTTTTGATTTTGATCTCTCATTTGGCATTAGAGCCATTGACAAATGTCAATAATGGCCGATCAAACTTCTTTTTCTTCTTCCTTTGACAAATCTGAAACAAATCCAAACTCAAAACCCTGCACCATCTCAACTAATCCTGGCAATTCTTATGGTTTTTCGTCCTCCACACTTCCAATTATCTCACCCAAGCTGACGAGAGATAATCACAACTTCTCGAAGTCCCAGATAATCTTCGTTGTTGGCTCTCACGATCTTGAGGAACATCTCACTAGATTGGTCTCTTGCCCTGCCCCATTCATTAGAGTTCAACCAGAAAATTCAAGCTCTAAGGTAATCAATAAACCTAATCCTGAGTATACTTTGTGGAAGAAAACTGATAAACTTTTAGTCAGTTGGTTGCTATCTTCAATTTTAGAATCAATGTTTACAGTAATTGCTAAACGTCAACATGCTACTGAAATCTGGATTACACTTGAAAATGAATTTCTTACTGAATCTAGAGTCAAAACGTTACATGTTAAAAATTTGCTATAGAACACTAAGAAGGATAGTCTTAGCACGCATGCCTATTTTCTTAAAATGAAAGGGTTTGCCAAAAATATGTCGGCTAGTGGAGTTAGTGTCATAGATGAAGAACTTCTGAATTATATATTAGACGGTCTTGATTCATATTATGATGCTGCTGTAGTCAATATAACCTCTAGGTTAGAATCAAGACTGGAACCAATTTCCATTCAAGAAGGTCAAATAATCCTACAAAAATTTGAGTTAAGACTGGAAAAGGCAAATTTTGCTTTGAATTCAGTTGTTCATAACGAGTTCCATGGAGTTTTAGCTAATGTTGCTAACCTTGCTATAGATACTAGCAATAAGAAACCCCAATTACATCAGGATGCTCAAAATCTTGTTGGAAAACCTCAGTACAATACCTTACCTCAAACTGATCAACCACATCATAATTTCACTTCACCATATGCCTTACCTACTCAAAATCAGACCATGTTTACACCAGGATATGCTTAGAATTCATACTATAATCAGCAGTTTCATAATGGTTACTCTGGTGGTAGTGGTAGAGGTAGAGGTAGAGGTAGGACTAGAGGAAAAAACAGATTTGTTTGCCAAGTTTGTGGAAAAACAAGGCATCTTGCACTGAACTGTTATCATAGGTTCGATGTACACTTTACAGGACAACATTCTCCCTCCCCTAGCTTCACAAGCAGCTCTCTTGGCTTTACAAATAACTCTGGTCCTTCTAATGTTGTTGGTTTCTCCAGATCATCTGAGTTCAGTCAAACAACTACTCACCCACAGCTCCCCATGCTTACTCACATAATGTTAATTTTGGGACTTCTGTGCAACCCTCTAGACAGTCTTTTCCTCAACACATTGTAGTCTCACATTCATCCAATCCTAACATTGGTTCTCCATTGAGTACAGGTCCTACAGGTGGGCAGAATCAGGCCTTCATAAGGCAATCATAGTCCTATCTGCCTACTTCTACAGCAATCAACTATATAGCTACATCTTTTACTTTTCAGGATGTTGTATGGTACATGGATTCTAGAGCTACAGACCATGTGACCTCTGATTTTTCACAATTGACAGCAAGCTCCAGCTGCACAAGTAGTGAGCAGCTCCAAGTGAGTAATGGTGAGTTATTATCTATTTCCCATATTGGTTCAACAATTTTACATTGTCCTTTTCAACCTTTATACCTTAGGAATGTGTTATGTGTACTACTATTACCAAAAACTTGCTCAGTGTGTCTAAGTTGACAAGGGATAATCTTGTGTTTGTTGAGTTTTATATTAACTATTGTGTGGTTAAGGACATAACCTCCAGGACAATTCTGCTTCAAGGAGTACTTAAAGCTGGTATGTATCAACTTCAGGTTCCAGCTCATTCATCTCCTCACTCCTCTCCAAATTTGGCTGTCTCTTTTGATTCCAAGTTTACTAATAATTCTAATGTTTCTTTGTCTAATCATTTTACTAAGTCTAATAATGTTTCTTCGAACAATAAGCTTTTGTTAGCTCCTATTTCAAATATGTTCAATTTAGATTGTAATTCTCATTTTGCTCAGTTAAATAATGCATGCACTGAAACATTTATGACTAGCAATGTATCTAATCCTGGTGCTATAACTGTACTCAATAAAACTCATGGTTTTGAATCATTTCCTGCTCAAAAAACGAATCTTATGTTGTGGCACAATAGGTTACGATATCCTAATATTTCAGTTCTCACTAAAATGCTTAAAGACCTGAACTTACCACATATTGCCACAAATTATGTTCCTTTTTGTCAAGCCTACCAGTATGGTAAACTACATCAGTTAGTTTGCCCTAGGTCTACTTTTCAGACCCTTAAGCCACTAGATATAGTGTACTCTGACCTTTGGGGACCTTTTCCAGTACCTACACCTAAAGGTTTCAAATACTAAATACAGTTTTTAGATGTTCATAGTAGGTTTACATGGATTTTTCCATTAAAAGCTAAATCTGAAACCTATACAGGGTTCACATAATTCCATAAATTGGTTGAACGACAATTTGACACTACACTCAAATGTGTTCAAACTGATTGGGGTAGGGAATATAAAATTCTAGTACCTTACTTTAAGGCTCATGGAATCCATTTTAGGCATCTTTGTCCTCACACTCATCAACAAAATGGAAGAGTTGAGAGGAAACATAGACAAATTCTAGAACAAGGCTTGACTCCACTTGCCTAAGCTTGTATGCCTCTGAAATTCTAGTGGCATGCTTTCCAAACTACCACATATCTCACAAATGGGTTGCCTTCACCAGTGTTATCTAATTAATCACCCTTTCAAAAGTTGTTTCATAATATTCCCAATTATTCTAACATTAAAGTGTTTGGTTGTGCTGTATATCCTTTCCTTAGGCCATATAATTCACACAAATTCAATTTCCATACTTCCAAATGTACTTTTATTGGATATAGTTTGCATCATAAAGGATATAAATGCTTAGATGTTTCTGGCAGGATTTACATTTGCAAAAGTGCTAAATCTGATGAACTTGATTTCCCTTTTAAGAATTCCAGACCTATCATTGTCTCTGCCCCTCCTAATAGTTCAACATATTCTCTTGTTTATAATACTTGGCATGTTCCTCTCCCACCTTTACATTCCTCTCAAAAACAGCATACTAATTGTCTGTCCTCTGGTTGTCCTGCCACACAATGTCAGTCTAACTCACAGTCCACTTCTTCCCACATTCCTCAGCTTTCTACCACACAAAATCAGTAACATTCTCAGTCAATATCCTCACCTGTGTCTATATCCCAGGTCTTGCCTTCTCCTACATCTAAAACATAGCACCAAACACAACCCATATCTTCAATATCTGCTCCCAACCCTTCACCAATATCTCTCCTATCAAACACTTCCTTTGACATTGTTCCACTGGTAGTTAAGTTACCTTATATCCACTAATTACCCTCAGCAGAAAATGTACACCTTATGATCACTAGGTCCAAAGCCAAGGCACATAACACAGCTTTAGTCACCTCCTCTTATCTGGATTATAAGGAACCAACTATAGTTGCGGAGGCACTTTCTCATCCATCTTGGAAAGTTGCCATGCAAGCTGAATTTGATGCCTTGATGGCTAACTGTACTTGGGAATTGATCCCAGCTACTTTAGATATGCATACTGTAGGATGTAAGTGGGTGTTTAAGATTAAACATAATCCTGATGGCACTATTCAGAGGTTTAAAGCAAGATTTGTAGCTAAAGGGTTTCAACAAACACCCGACATTGATTACCTAGAAACCTTTAGTCATGTTGTCAAATCTCCTACCATTAAAGTAATCATGAGTTTGGCTGTAAGTTATGAGATATTCAGTAAGTGAATGTCAATAATGCATTCCTGAATGGTGATCTTACTGAGCACGTGTATATGGTTCAGCCTGAAGGGTTTGCTAGCTCACAATTTCCACATCATGTGTGTCATT